CCAAGCAGGCACACCTACCAAGGACAACGCCTTCTAGGCAGCGTCGTCGTATCTTCTTCTTCTGACCAAAACAACATAAAAGCTTCACTTAGCTAATGGGATTGGCTCGCGGGTTGTTTTACTGGTTTTGTCTCTTCCTCTTTCTGGGGGAGACACTGAATTTGCGCCTCTGCTGGCTTTTCCAGGCTATTTTTCAGGGTGGGATAGGGTTCTTTGGCGTTTTACGGGTAGACCGATGTCTGGCTCCAGGATAAAAGGGGTTGGATTGTACTACACCATGACATGACACGAAACGATATCAGGCTTTTCTTTTACTTTTCCACGACTAGGATTCTAGAAGGAGCTGTATTCATCAGCCACCGCGCTATTGTCGGTCGGCCTGAGCAGGAAATACAAATCCTCGTAACCTTTTTAAACCATGCTTTTTTTTTCTTCATCTGATGACTTCATTTCTCATGCCTTCCACGCGCTCACGACGCACACCACATCCTCGTCCGCCACCGCGTGCCCGAGTCCCACTCTCTGCGGGATATGCCTGGCGCTCGCGCCCCAAACGAGCGCGTACTTGAAGGTATCCTTAAGCGTCCTGTGAATGCGGTCGCACACGTCCTCAATGGTACTGTTGCTCCGCACAATGAGCGCCTCGCTGAAATCCGGGTCGGCGCCCTGGCGCTTGGTGTAGATGCGGATGAGCTTGAGCTCCTCCCAGCAGCGGTCGACGACGTCCTGGATGCCCAGGTCGAGCTCGCACGACATGACGACAGTGTGGGGCTCGCGGGCGAGCTTGTCGAGGAAGTCGAGGGAGACGGAGTCGATCTTGTTGTAGACGTAGAGGCACTTAATGTACTTTCGGTGGTCCTTCATGATGACGTCGATGAGGTCGTCGACGGTGGCGTACTCGTCGCGGACGAGGACTTCGCAGTTTAGGATCTTGTAATCGCGGAGGATGTTAAAGACCATTTTCTCGTCCATGTTTTTGGGAGGGGACTGGAAGGTGATTTTCATGCCGCCTGCTTTTTTGGCTTTGAGGTAGATGTTTCTGTCGTGGCGTGTGTCAGACCTATCCTACACAACAACGAAATAGGGGGGAGAGAAAGAAGGGAGTAAGAAATCATCGTACGGTGGCTCTCTGTTGAGACGGATACCCACAGCCTCCAACTCTGCCTCGAGCAGCGCCCTCTGCTCCGCCTTCTTGGTCGCGTCCAGCACCATGAGAATCATGTCGCTCGTCTTGGCCGCCGAGATGACCTGTCGTCCTCGGCCCTTGCCCTCGGCGGCGCCCTCGATGATACCCGGCAAATCGAGCAGCTGGATCTCGGCACCGCCGTACTCGAGAACACCCGGAATGGCCGTGAGCGTCGTGAAGGCGTACGACGCCACCTCTGATTTTGTCCGCGTGACTTTGGATAAAAAGGTCGATTTACCGACCGAGGGGAATCCGACGAGGGCTATTCGGGCGTCGCCGGATTTGCTGACGTCGAAGCCTGCGCCGCCGCCGCCGCCTGCTCCTGGGCCTGGTTCTAGTAACTGTGCTCGGAGACGGGCGAGTTTACTTTTCAAATGTGAGTGAATGGGTTCCTGAGTATGAAGGTGTGATGAAGACTTACCCCTTTAGAAGACCAAGATGATATTCTTTGGAGGTCTGTTGTTAATAATGGCTCCTTGCTTGATCCGGCTTCTTTCACAAACGTACCAGTCGCCTTGTTCTCTATAGAAAGTCAGCAAAAGTTCTCCTCTCTAGTAGTACGCTTGGTAATCTCTCAAAAGTCGTCTCCTTGATCAACTTGTGGATAGTCTGATCTCAGTATGCCGTTGATCCATCGAGTCTGTCTCTCCAAGTTGACAAAAGCCCAGATAAAATGACTTTTGAGAACATGATACAAAGGTATGTGAGGGCGAGTCTTACTCTGGGTCTTTCTCATCTCATCCTCAATCCTAGTGGCGCATCATCAGCCTCCCGCTTCAAGTTGGTGGTGTCGGTGGTGGGGGTTCGTACTCCTTGATCTTTTCCGTAATGTTCACCATCTTGGCGATTTATGAGCTCAGAGTCTTGAGACTCTGAATTTACCTATAAATCAAAAAGATGGTGATGAGCAATGAGCGCTTCGCTTTCTGCTCGGCGCGAGACGGCTTCGCAAGATCATGGTGGGGCAAGTCGGCCTCCAAAGACGTAGGAAGACTGAACCGTGTGGCAGAATTTACCGCGGGGCTGCGTTGCAGCGACAGGGGTCTCCACTCACCGCCCTCGAACCACTGAGGATGCGCGCGCCATGGTTTGCGCCACAGCGTTATCGCGATAACAAATTTCCAAGCCTCGCCGCGCGCCGCTCACTGTTGCCCCGTCGTCGACATCCATCCAAAAAGCACACATCAACACTCGAGCTATCCCGTTACCTCTCTACTACGACATCCACCGCATCGAATTCCCCCCACCCAATCGCAATCATGTCGGACGAAGTTGCGCAAGCCCGACCCGAGGAGGTCGACGGACAGGAGCCCGAGGACAATGGGCAGGAGACAGCGCTAGCGACAACCACCACCGAGGTCGCCGCGCCGACAGAGCGAAAAGTAAAAAAGATTATCAGAAAGAAGAAGAGGCCGGCGCGCCCGCAAGTCGACCCGTCCTTCATCACCTCGGAGCCTCCGCCGCAGACGGGAACAATCTTCAACATTTGGTACAACAAATGGTCTGGCGGCGACCGCGAGGACAAGTACCTCTCCAAGACGCACGCAAAGGGCCGCTGCAACGTCGTCAAAGACAGCGGGTACACGAGGGCCGACAAGGTCACGGGCAGCTACTTTTGCCTCTTTTTCGTGCGCGGGATATGTCCCAAGGGCCAAGACTGCGAGTACCTGCACCGCCTGCCGGGCATCCACGACATATTCAACCCCAACGTCGACTGCTTTGGCCGAGACAAGCACTCCGATTACAGGGACGATATGGGTGGTGTCGGTAGTTTCATGAGGCAGAATCGTACGATTTACGTGGGAAGGATACACGTCACGGATGATATCGAGGAGATTGTGGCGCGTCACTTCGCGGAATGGGGGCAGGTTGAGCGAGGTGAGTTCATACAGGAAATCTGCGCCGCATCAGGGGAAACGCATGCTAACTTTCCATCTAGTTCGCGTACTCAACACTCGTGGAGTCGCATTCATAACATACTCCAACGAGGCCAACGCACAATTCGCCAAGGAGGCCATGGCGCACCAGTCTCTGGACCACGAGGAGATCCTCAACGTGCGCTGGGCGACGGCAGACCCGAACCCGATGGCGCAGGCGCGCGAAGCGAGACGGATCGAAGAGCAGGCCGCTGAGGCCGTCCGGCGCGCGCTCCCCGCGGAGTTCGTGGCCGAGATCGAGGGCAAAGACCCGGAAGCCAGGAAGAGGAGGAAGATTGAGAGCAGCTACGGGCTCGAGGGCTACGAGGCGCCGGACGAGGTCCACTTCGCTCGGGGCGCCAACGCCGTGAACCCCGTCGGTCGTGAGGGTCACGAGATGGAGTACCAGGAGCGGCTTTTGCTTGAGAGCGGCGGCCAGGAGCAGTACGAGGGATTGCCTATGCTTCAGCAGCAGCCGGCGGTTGTGTCTGGCGGGATCTTCTCCAGCAGTACGCTCGCGGCCCTCAACTCGTCCAAGGTTGCTGTGGCGTCGAAACCAAAGGTGGCTGTGTCTACTGGGCCGTTAGTCGGCTACGGCAGCGATGATGATTCCGACTGAGCCCCAGGCCTGGTTGGTTTTTTGTACGATTAACAAAGGGGCAAGGAAAAGAACAAAAGCGATCATGATACCCCATTTGAGAATGGAAACACATCAAAGTTAGAGAAGCCGAGTGGTAGAGAAAAAAGAATATCAACTGTTGAATATCCGTGAATACAGAGTCTCGTGTCTGCCGATCCATAGATCCATCACCGGCATCGTCTGTCCGGCTCTCTCGATGGGCGTGCTCCATTCTCGCTCAATGGCGACGGAAATGAGTTGCTGGACCTGTGTGCTCGCGAGCACCTTTTGCGCCTGGTAGGGCCCAAACATGCTGGCTCTCACGGCGGCCGAGATGAGGGCCTTGACGTGGCCCATCATGAAGATGTAGGCCGTCTGCTGGAGGGTGAGGCCCACGATGTTGCAGATTGCGCCAAAGAGGGGAGCCAGGTGAGCGAAGACGGGCGGGGGTTCGGCCTGGTCATCTGCGGTTGTCGCTGACGCTGACGTTGACCGCGACGAGGTAGCTGTCTTAAGAAGCGCCGCGTACGGCTGGAGAGTCGCGACAAGGGGTGCGGGGAGGGAGGAGGCGAAGGAGCGTTCCCAGATGGAGAGGAGGGCACGGCCTTGCGCGATGGAGGCGCGGCGGCCGACGGTGCAGATGATGGCGGCGTCGAGGTTGTCGTCTAGATCCGCGATGTTGGAGGGGCAGCGGTGCGCTGCTAGGACGAAGGGGAGGGTCGTCGAGGCGTAGGCGGAGATGGATTCCGGGAGGAAGGTGGTGAAGGAGGAGCGGGGCCGGGTGTGGGCTAGGTAGGACTCGAGGCCGCTGCTGAAGGCAAAGGAGCCGAGGGGGAGGGCTGAGTCTGAGAGGAGGAGGAGGTAGTGGTTTGTTTGTGAGGGGGATGGCGATACTGCATTTGTGTTAGTTAAAAGTCTGAGATATTTCATGTTAAAGACATTTAGTTGGTGTCGACTGACATGAGGGTTTTGATGAGAGACTTTGAGACGGTAGAGAACCGATGGGCTCTTCTGTATGCCCTTTGAGACCCTTCACCTTTTCCCTGGCAGCCTTGAGGCGTGCCTCCAGCTCCAAGATCTCCCTTTCAGCATCGTCTACGGATTCATCCCGCGCAAGTGAATCCATTGGGAAGCCTGCAAAAGCCCGTCTGAAGATTAAGACTCGATGTTGCAGTTGATAAGCTTCCGATAGCGGGAAGAGGACCCTGCAGGATCGGGGGGAGTAGTCGTTCAGGGGCTGCATCGAGCCTAGGCGCCCGCCGCCATCCTCCCACTGCAAAGATGGCCGCGCCGCCGGGGCACTCTGGGACTTCTGGGACTTCTGGGACCTCTCTGCAGGGATCTTGTTCGGCGTCTGCTCTCGTCCCACCCGCCCGTACCAACTTGCTCACCTCGGCGATTGATGGAGTAAAAAAAGAGAAGAGCTTCACCTTTCACGCCTTACAAGGTAGCTATAGGAAGCCCGCTCGGTGAAAATCGTACGATCTCACCAATCAAAGGCCTCGAGATTTCTCATTACTGAATATCTTCAATTGCACCTTTCAACGTCGCTCCCTCATCCTCATACGACCCTCCTCTCTGTTTTGAGGTCTAATAAGTCTCGACGTCATCAACTCCTTCTCCGCAGACACTGAACGTAAAGCGACCGGCGCCCCGGTCGACAATGCCAGGAGAATGGCAACGCACGACAAGATGAAGAGCGCCGAGGCCGACGACGCCGCGTGGGAAGCTACCCGGGGAGCCTTCATCGGCGCCGCGAGATGGGGTCTCGGAGCCGCCGTCGTGGGCGCCTTTGCGTACAAGTTCTCGCCTCTGTACAAGGGCCTCACCATTCAGTTCAAGATGTAATACGTCACCTCTCTCTCTCACGCGACAACAACTCAAATCACTATCATTTCCCCTCCCTCCCCCCTTTTCCTATCCCACACTGTTGCTCATTCACTCGTTCATTCCGTCGTACTATTGCTTGAAACGAGACTGACATAACCACGGCAGCTATATGCAAATGTCAGCCATGGTGCTGGGAAGCATGCTGGAGGCGGACAGCAGGTTACGAGAGTATGAGGCCCGGGTCAGATTGCAGAAGCGCATTCTGAGGGATAGGGCCAAGTGGGAGAGATTTGAACGGGAATTTTATGAGAATTCCAACGAGAAGAAATGAACAGTCACCATCACAGGCGAATAAACCGAAATTGATCACTCTCCAAAGGACTATTGATCTCAACCTGTATTTCATAGTATTGTATAACATTGGACAGTCAAATCCTTGACTTTTTGTTTTTCGAGCTTCACAGAAAAAGGTACCGCAGACCTGATTTAACCCCTAACGCCGGATCATGCAAGTCATTATGTCCCGCCAGCAGCGAGTCTTCTATCGGCTGCCAAATTTATTTCATTTTGAGGGACCCTCAAACTTCTTCGGGTCCATGTTGATCTTGCAGAGCCTCGCAACACAGCCGCTCAACTGCAGCAGCGTCTGCACGCCCTCCAGAATCTTCATGTGCGTGAAGCCAATCTCCTTGATGAACTCGAGCTTGGAGTGCTCGCTCAGCGTCGGGATCGTCTTGGTGACCTTGAACATGGTGCTGATGATGTCGTGGCTCGAGTACCCCAGGTCCCAGAGCTCCCGGAGACTGTCGAGCGCCGAGTCGACGTTGCCCTCGTAGCACGCCTTGAGCATCGCCTGCACCTTGATCGGGTGCGGTGAGTCCACCACCTTGAAGACGTTGTCACCCGACACGAAGCCGAAGCCGGCAAACGTCGACTGTAGGTTGTTGATGGCCTGTCGCATGTCGCCCTCGGCGCTGAAGACGAGCGCCGCGAGGCCGTCGTCGCTGTATTCCACCTTTTCGGCTTCGATGATTTGCAGGAGACGCTTGACGACCTGCTCGTCGGTGAGTCGAGCGTAGCGGAGGATGGCGCATCGTGACTGCAGCGGCTCGATGATCTTGTTGGACTGGTTACAGGCGAAGGCGAAGCGCGTCGTGTTGGAGTAGATTTCCATTGTCCGGCGGAGGGCCTGCTGGGCGCCTGATGTCATGCTGTCGGCCTCGTCGAGGATGACGAGCTTGTGGCGGCCCTGGGGCAGGGTGACCTTCTTCTGGGCGAAGCCCTTGATACGGTTGCGAACGACGTCGATTCCTGTGCTCGGGCGTTAGCATTAGGTATGCCAAATCAAGGACATGTTTGCTTCCATACCTCTCTCGTCACTCGCATTGAGCTCCAGCACAGCCTCCTTATATGTGTCTCCGAGCAACTGCCTCGCTAGGCAGAGCACACTGGTAGTCTTTCCGATACCAGGCATACCTGAGATGATGACGTGCGGCATGTTGCCCTCCTTTGCAATAATCTTTAGGCGATCAATCGTCTCGGTGTTTCCGACTACATCGTCGAGGAAGACAGGGCGGTACTTCTCGACCCTGAAGAGCGCGCGTTAGCAGTTGGGTTAGAAAGCTTGAGGAAACTAGAATGACTGACCAGGGAAGCTCATAGTTAGCTACGCCATTTGACGCCGCAGTCAGAGCCTTCTTGGCTGCGGACGTCGAGGACTCGCCAGCCTCCTCTGGCTTCGTGATCTGCTTCTGAGCGGGCATGGCAGCTTTTTTTTTTTGGCTGGGGTGTTGGGAGGTGCAGATAGCAGATCGTCAAGTCCCTGGAGTTCTGTGCGGGCAGCGGGCGGAAGCACTTTACGCGATGCTTGTCGAAAAGACGCGTCGTGTGCGGAACGCGCTAAACTTCTCTGGGATCCACCCTAGTCTTCCCTGCCTATTCTTCAGAATTCAACCTCACCGACATCTCACCAACACATCTTGTCAGTCCTGAGATATTTGTCCTCCTGGGCTTCAATACGTCGACATAGTCTCAATCGTAATTCTCACATTTTTGCATTCTGAACCGTTCACGCATTACCTCAACAAAAAAAAAACTCGTAGCATAAAGGCATTCAGCTTTTTTTTTTTTTCATTGCAATTTGTTCATCCAAGGTATCTAGTCGTCGTCCTCATCCGCCTTCTTCTTACCCTTCCTGGTCTTCGCACCTCCCTTGAAGTGCTTCTTTCCGGACGACAGCTTCACATCTTTGGGGTCGACTCCGCTCTCCAGAGCAATCATTGCCCGTGCCTTTCTTCCACTCAAGTGCTTCTGGCCCTGCTCCGTATACTTGTGGCTGAAGGGCATCTTAGTGTGGCCGCCGCTGCTGTTGGGGCCAAAGAAGCCCTTGTCAATCTGCTTGGACTTAGGGCCAGCTGGTAGAGCTGCAAGGTCTGAGGGAGCTATCGAAATATCATCATCGACGATGGACATGGTGTCTAAAGACGTGCTGAGGGCTTGACGCCGCTTCTCGGGGAGATGCGTCTCGTCGTAGAGCTCTGCGTTGAACTCGGGGCCGTCAACTGTTCCTGGTGGTGGTTCACAGTACAGGAGCTTTCCGGCAACGTAGTCCTTGAGGATGTATCGAGAAGCTCTTGACTCGTCAGGCTGACCCAGTCCCTGGGTCTGGAAGCCTCTGGCTCTGGCATATGCGCGGAGCAATTCCGGAGCGGTAGGAATGCCTGTGCCTCCTTCTTCGGCAGCGCGGGTCCTAATCTTGATTCCGTAAACGGCTTCCAAGAAGGTCTTGGGTATCCTCCTGGTGACCAGCCCAGCCGGTCCCTGGAACTCTCGCAGTTGATCGATGGGCAACACACCGTTGCAGACCAGGTCGGCCTTGGTGTTTGCGAAGTTCGGGTAGACCAAACCAGGACAATCGCACAGGACAACATTCTCGCTGAGGTGGATTGTCTGGAAGTGCTTTGTCTTTCCTGGCGTTGACGAAACTGAAACCTTCTTGGCACCAATCAAGGCGTTGATGGTGGAAGACTTTCCGACGTTGGGATATCCGACAAGACCAATCTGCAACTTGTGTCCAGGCTCTGATGATTCACCGTTAGTTTCCAATCCAAATTACGTTTTGGGGTTCTCATCATACCTGCGTTCTCGGGAGCGTGACTGAGGAAGATGTCCTCCAGCTCCTCGACCGTAAGAATTCTCGTGTCTTCATCATCAACGTCGGCCTCGGCCTCCGGCTGCGAGACCGCAGGCTGAGCAGTCTCTGCGCCGCCCTCCTCTTTGTCATCCTTCTCTTCCTCATCTTCTTCTTCCTCCTCTGAGCTCTCCTCCTCGGCAGATGCGGCCTCCTTCGTGGCAGCCTTGGAGCTGCTGCCAGCCTGCGGTTCTTCTTCCTCTGATTCGTCATCGTCATCGCTCTCCATGGCCTCCAACAGTTCTTTCGCAAGATGCGCAGAGAAGAATCTGTACGCAATGCCGTTCTCCTTCAGGTACTTGGCCCACATCTTACGCTGTGTCAGCGTGAGCATATCTGCCTTGTTGATGAGCAGCAGGTTCTCTTTCTTTGAGTCGATGTCTTTGACGTAGTGCTCCAAATCCTCGGATCTGAAAAGCAACGGGTTCCTGGCATCGACAATCTGGACGATCAAGTCTGATCGTTCAATGACACGCCAAAGTTGTCTCCACACCTCGAGGTTACGCTCGAACGGCGTCATGAGGAGATCGTTGTTCTCCTGAAGTTCGGCGAGGCCTCGGCGCCAGTCAAGGAAACTCTCTCTCTCCCGTCTGTCCAGCTCCTCCGGTGTGGTGGACGCATCCCACTTTGGTCTTCTCGGCACTGTCAAGCGTCCCCTGTGCTCTTTTTGCTTGCCAATGATGGCCCTTTCCTCTGCTCCAGATAGCAAATACGGGTTCTTCTGGTCGGTATGGATGATCTTAACGTTGTTCATTTTCTCCGCCGTAAAGTCCGTGCCCGCCAGCTCTGCGGTCGCGAGGAACTCGTCGAGAGCACCTTGCTCGGTAACCGATCGCATTTTGACCCATGACGCTTCTTGTCGCTCGTTCGTGAGGTACTGGTAAAGTGTGAGTATTTGTCTTGAAAACTTCGGAACGAGAAGACCCGGCGTTGCCTCATTACCTCTTCTCCTGTGGCGTGGTTCACTCTGGTGATGGTACTTTTCTTCCTGTCTGCGCCACGACCCTTGCCAAAGCGATCGTTCATCAGGGCGTTGCCCAGCCCGGCGGTCTTCTTGGATTTGGCGTGCACCATTTTCGCGGTGATATCTGGTCTCTCGCTACTTTGGAAAATAAGGTGAAAAATGCGCAGTGGAAAGAAACGACTCCCAAAGCTGCTTTGTGAATCAGAATGAGTAATAGTGGGAGCCCGTCGCAAGTGCCCGCCTTGAAGAGAATAGCAGTGCCCCGCGACGATTAATCAGCGGGGCAAAAAAGTGATTTTGGGCGTTTATCGATAAGAGATTTTTTTTTGCGACCGCGGGGCTCTCATCTGTGCGTCCCACTGAATCTCTCCCTCTTGCGCACCCATCAGTCAGATCGACGAGCCAGTCTACCATTACCCGAAACACTCCAAATCAGACAAGATGGCGAAGGGAAAGAAATTGTAAGTCTGTTACTGACCACTTCGCAGGCGTGGTAGCTGACAACCTTTTCTCAGCGACAAGAAGAGTGCGCAGCACTTCACCCTCGTCCACCGACCGCAAAATGACCCCCTCATCCACGACGAAAATGCGCCCTCGATGGTGCTCAACCCGGTGCCTCAGAAGGGTGGGCCGTCGAAGAGCAAGCATCTGAGCGACCTTGCATCTGAATTTGGGTCGGAAGCAGGCAGCATACGCGCAAACGAAGGAGAGGCAGCAGAATACGGCGTTTACTACGATGACACTGAGTACGACTACATGCAGCATCTGCGCGGCTTGAACTCTGGAGGTGGTGAGGCCGTCTGGGTTGAGGCCTCGGGTGCCGCAAACAATGACCGAAAGGGAAAGCAGACGCAATCACTCGAAGATGCGTTGCGACAGATGGACCTGGAGCAAAAGAGCGAGGCTTTGCTGGATCCCTCCCTCCTCCCCAACAAAAACCTCCCGCGAACCAACTACGAGACACAGGTGGATGTCCCCGATGCCATCGCTGGATTCCAGCCCGATATGGACCCCCGGTTGAGGGAGGTGCTGGAGGCATTAGAGGACGACGCGTATGTGGATGATGACGACGACATTTTCAAAGAGCTGTCCAAGGACTCGCGCGAAGTCGATCAGTACGAATTTGAGGACCAATACGACTATGACGACGAGGATGAGGGCTGGGAATCAGACGACACTGCCAAGCCGAACAAGGAGTACAAGGATGGAGCAGTGCCGCAGCTGGTCCCTGTTGAAGGGGAGGCGTTACCAGAACACCAGAACGAAGACTGGATGGAAGACTTCAAGCAGTTCAAGAAAGATCAAAAGGGCGGCAAGGTCCAGCCGGCCAAGGACACCCCGTCTGAGTTGCAGTCCTCCATTTGGACCACGACAACGATGGGTGGCCGGAAGAAGAAGAGAAAGGGAGCGTTGACCAATCCATCAGCCTTTTCTATGACCTCGTCCGCCATGGTCAGGACGGAACAACTCACCCTTCTGGACGCCAGATTCGACAAGATTGAGGAGGAGTACACAAATGAGATGGGTGACGACATGGCATCTGTCTCGGAAGTATCAACGGCGACCAGTGTGACCGGACCCACCAGAGGCGACTTTGACAGCATCATGGATGATTTTCTGGGCAACTACACCAGGCCTGGAAAACGGACAAACAAGAAGAACAGGCCGCAGACTGGTCTTGAGCAACTTGACGAGATCAGACAGGGTCTTGGCCCAGCTCGGTTTCGTTCACTCAACACCAAGAGGGTTTAGGTGTGTTTGCGCCCAAACACAGAAGCATTCGGCGCAGCCTAGATTCCGGTCATCGAGATACCCTCACTGAGTGCCAGACTTTGCATTAGATCTGAGCTCCATAATGTTATGATAAACAAATTGATGTTTTATGAACCATCATTTTCTCCAACTTGATCTGAAATTTGCCACAAGCTGAGTCCTTAGAGAGTCCAGCGGCTAATGATTTTGCGTACAGTGATTCACACTTGTCGCTTCCAACAACGTGAAAGTTCTCTGTAGCTTGAAAGATTTGCCGAAATCTTCCTTCTGGAAGGAACACTCGAAAGTGCATGTGAGGTATGCTCCCGCCGTGGGAGGAGAACCTTGAGGAGTTCATCTCACACAGAGGGCGTGGATTTATCCCACACACCCCTGGCTCAGTGGGCAGGAACGCACCCAGCTGTGGGTCATAGCTTCGCTTACTTTAGACGCCTTTAGACGCCATACACGCCGGGGAAAAAACGCGGCAAACGCAGACCAGCTCCATCCTAGTTCTCCACTTGGTTCTTGTCTGCCTCATCGTTTCCTTCTTGGAGTTTCCTTTCGCGAACCCGACATGACGTCGGTCTCTTTCCCTCCAAGCAGACCCGACAAGAAGCTATCGCCATTCGGAGGCATATCGACTGGTGGCTTTGAAAGTCATTCTGACGCGAGCAAGAACGTTTTCGGCTTCAATGGAGCGGGCGCCGGCGGTGGGCAGCGGTCGACACGCAACTTGAATAACCAACCTCCCGACATGACGACTCCTGCGACAAAGCGGAAGGGCGTCAACCCGTTCGATGGCGCCAGCTCAGACGACAACCGACGACGAAAAAACACGAAGGGAGATTCACAAGGCGACTGGAAGAAGAAGGGTCCCAAAGCGCAAGGCGCGAAGCCCAATGGCGCGAAGGCGCCGAAAGGGTTCGGAACCACCCAGTCGCGCGGTAGTTTCGGTACCCAAAACAACAACAATCACAGCTCGGGCTCTACCGACTATGGAACGGACGATGCGAACGGCGAATCAAACGGTGACGGCACGGCATACTCCGACAGAATCTTCTCACAACTACGACAGGATGGAATCGCGCCGCCAAAATGGCCGTCCGATCCAGGAAACACGACGTCAAAGGCCTCGATGGCTAAATTTAGGGAAGAATACAAGACATATCGCGATCGGGCCAGGATTTCGTTGATGCGCGCCGGCTTGATTGACGATCCCGATAAGCCAAAGCGACTGGAAGACGCGATTGACTTTAAAGGCATCTGCGACGCGATGTGCCCCGACTTTGAGAAGATTACTCGCATCACCGAATTCGATGTTCAGTCTGCCGAAAAGGACCCCCGAACCACTTTCGCCAACACATCAAAGATGGTCAAGAAGCTGGCGCGTTCCGCAGCTGGCCAGGAGGCTCCGTTACCCATGGATGTCAGATCTACAGCAGCCCTCCGAAGGACGCTCGACTATCTCATCGACGACCTTTTACCGATCGACGACAAGTTGCCTTCTTCTCATGGTTTTCTGTGGGATAGAACACGTGCGATTCGCAGGGACTTCATCTTCCATTCGACAATGTCCCCCGAAGAGATGAAGGACCAAGTATACTGTCTCGAGACGATTGCCAGGTTTCACGTTACAGCGTTACATCTGCTTTCTCAGGAGGGATTCGCGCTGGAAGACTTTTCAGAGCAACAAGAAATTGAGCAGCTGGGCAAGGCGTTACTTTCGCTCATGTTTGCTTACGACGACTGCAAGCCCCAAGGTGTTGTTTGCGAAAACGAGGCCGAGTTCAGGGCGTACCATTTGCTTTTCAGTGCAAATACTCCCAATATCCTCGACAACGTGCAAAAGGAATGGGGAGACTCTCGCTTCTGGACCGACTCCGATACTATCAGAACAGCCGTCTCACTCGTCGAGAGCTTGCAGAGTGCAGAGGACTTCCACGGTCCGTTGGGCTCGGGCCCGTCCATGGTGACATCGGGTGCACACCTCACTTACTTCAGAATCCTGCAAAGCCGGGAAGTGTCTTATACAATGGCATGCTTTGCAGAGATTCATTTGGGTCAACTCCGCCGCTCAGTTCTTCGCTCCCTGAAGAAGGCGTACACCAGACCACGACACGGGGCAAAAGACATCACGCCCTCTACACTAAACCGATTTCTTCACTTCGACACAGAGAATCAGGCGATTGAGTTTGTCGAGCAGCATGGTCTCAGCTTCTCGAATGGACAAGGACCAGCGGGCGAACCCGTACGACATCTTGATACGTCGCAGCGCATGACATGGCCGAGAATTCATCATAGTTTCTCTCAGAGATTGGTTGAGAGAAAACGAGGTTCTCGTAGTCTTCCTGAGATCATTCACCGCACAATAGCCGACGAATCTACGGGCGCTAGTCAACAGGCTCCTGCAGGATTTCCGACGGGAGCGGCTTCATTCAAGCCGCCTCCACAGCAGGCTCCTTTTGGAAGCCACCCGGCAACGAACGCAGACTCTCCTTTTTCCAAGTCTCCTTTTTCAGCTCCCCAAGCAGGCACCTCAGCAGGACTCAGTGGAACGCCGTCTTTCGACAAAGGTAAAGAATCTTCCACATGCTACCCATACCGTCGTAGCCTCTTGCGTGCTAGCACCGTTGTCGACCCTCAAAATCATTGCGACTCTCCTCCACCGGATCTTTCCTCTTCAGTCAAGATCGAACGTCATAGTGCCAGGTTTCAGACACGGCAACACTTGGTACGGCTGAAAGACTGGCGGTCGTTCCAGGGATTGAGAAGCGGTCAGATCGCGTTCTCAATCGGGACGAGATGACTAGTGATGGAGTGTCACTGGCAGAAGACGAAGAGGGTAGGCATAGCGAAACCGGAACTCTGCTAACATTGTGTCTCATAGCAACCGAAGGCCCCAAGCCGACTTCAACGAATTCCAACCCGTTTGGAAACCCCTTCTCAACAACTCCGCCGACGTTTACTGGTGCAACTCCTGTTCAACAAAGCGGCCCAGCCTCGTCAGCAACAGCAGTACCAGCTCTGAATCCATTTGCTGCCAAGACGAGTTCTTTTGGCAAGCCAGACGCTGCGGCCGAGAGCACGACGCCTAACAGCAACCCATTCGGTTCACTGAACCAACCAAATGGCACTTCCCAACACAAAGCCCCGAGCATACCGGCTTTCCCTTCCCCGGCTTTCGGTACAGGCGCAGAACAAAAGGCGCCGGCGCAAGCGCAGCCAGCTGCGTCGAAAGATAGCTCTCCGGCCATCACCGTCACTCCGCCGACACCCAAATTCCCCTTGCCAACTTCAGGCACAACCGCAGAGTCGTCAACGCCTTTCAAATTCCCATCAAATCCCGGCGTACAGTCTACGGCTCCGACCGCTACCAGCAGTCCCTTCCAACCAACTCCGAAAACAAATGCGACGCCGCCATTACCGTCCTTCTCAGCAGGCGCAGTGGCTCCCGCTCAGCCAGCGAAGCCTTTCGCGACATTTCAACCCCCACCAACTCAGTCTCCCAGCCTAATTCCCACCACGACGGCTCCATCTATTCTCTCTCAGGCACCTACAGGCTCTATTGCCGGGTCCGGGCAATCCCCATTGCCTTCCTTAAATTTCCAGGGAGGCAGTTCGGAAGCCGTGAAGCCAACGTCCTCAGTTCAGCAGAGCTTCCCTCCGGCCATCGCCTCGCCTATACCTACTGCAGCTTCACCGCTCGCCCAGGCAACACCTCCTCAAGCTCCACCCGTGAAGCAGCGGTCCAAACAGGATGTTATGGCCGACTTTGCGAAGTGGTTCGTTACCGGCGACAACGGGTTGATGCAAGAGTTCGAGAAATACATCATCGAGCAAATTGTCTCAAACGCCTTTGGGCAGTATCACAGGGAGGAAGAAGAAAGGAAAAGAAGGGAGGAGGAGGAGAGGGATCTAGCAGAAGCACGGAAGTTCCAGGTCTACAACCTATCTGTCAAGTACTTCTATCGATGGAAGGAAATCGCCAGAAACCTTCGCCTCACCAAACTTCGCAGACAAGAGAGGGAGGAGTACCGAAGAGTTCAGCGTGAACAGCGGGAGGAGGAAATCAGGCAGAGGAAGAAGGCAGCTAAAGTTGCCGAGGCGAAGAAAAGGGCTTTGGAGAAGAATGGTTTCGACCCTGTGGAGGAATTCAGAGAGCTCCTTCAACTTAGGAAAGACGGCACACAAGCCGACCTCCAAGCAGAGGCGGAGGCTCTGCTAGCAACCGGCATCTTGTCAGGCATCTCGGACGAACGACTCGCAGCCGCCCATGTCATGCGGCCCCCAGCGACGATGGAGACGCTTGCGACGAACACGCCGCTACCTCGATCCCGCTCGTCAACGGCCTTATCGCAGTCAACCACGGGTACCAAGCCCCGCGGCGCGAAAACACGGGCCATACGAGAAGAGTTTGGCAAGAGCGCTACCAATTTCCGAAGATCGCTGCCTCCCATGTCAGCCCACTCCTCGTCATCACGACTGTCTTCAGAGCCGCAGAAGCGCGTTAGCAAAGTGTCTGATCGCTGGCGTCTGAAGGCGATGGGGCTCGTTACGATGCCCGACGGATCAGCGTTGCCGGAGTCCATCGCAAACGAGATGCGGTACAACGGGAAACGATATGCAGGGCTCGGGTCATTCGGCTTGGACGGCACCGAGCGACGCCGGAGCGTCTCTGCCGATCTCAACCACGCTGCCGAGGCCCGGTTACGCTTTTCACAGTCGCTTAACGGTGGCAGTGGTAGTAGCATTGCCGCCGTACCGCAGGTCAACGGGACCTCACCGCTTAGTAAGAGGAAACGGGCTCTCGATGACGACAACGAGATTGCGGTTGTGGACGAAACCACGCGCGTCAAGAAGCGGCCGTCGAGTAATGCGGAGATTGATAGGATACTTCGGGAAGCGAGGGAGAATCTGGAGTCGTTGAGGAGTTCGAGGATCGAGCTAGACGAAGGGGCGGATTGGTTTAGGGAACAGAACGAGATGATGCACGCGGAGGAGGCGAGCAGGGCTAGCTCGCCGTGGGGGAAAAGCGGTCATCGGTGAAGGAGGGAGGGACATGGAGGAAACAAATGGGAGGTACGATATGCATCAGCATTGGCGTTTTTTTCCACGGGTACTTTCTTGGGCGTGGAGTATGAAGGGTCCTTTTTTTTTTTTTCTTTTTATCTCAAGTAGTTCTCGTCTTTGCAAAGGTACAAAAAACAATACGGGCTACGAATACCCCATAGAAGAGACTTGTTTGGAATATTATGATTCGTGTACGATGAATAGTGCATGCATGGCCATGGGAGTGACTTGATCAGATGAAGTGAGGCGTCTGTATGGGATTGGTATTATTTGTCTGGTATTGGGTATGATGAACCTCGTGTTCCGGTGCCCGCTTACTCCGTCATATTGTAGATTTACTCCAAAACGCCACTCGCTATCGGCCGTGACTTGTAACAAATGAAACCACAAAAAGAGCCCGTTAGATAGGATTAGACATGACAACTATCTCTTCTTGGGCGGAGGCGGCGGCGGAAACGCCACCTGGATCTTGTAGCTCTCTACGGGGCTGCCTCCCAACGAGGTAAGCCTCTTTGGCAACGGCCGCGCCAGATCGCGCACGATGCCGGGGATGGTCTTGGACGCATCCGATGCCAACGGGGGCGGCGGCGACGACTCGGTGTGGATGTGCCGGTTGTGCGCAGGCGCGGGCCAGCCGGCCTGGCTTAGCAAGGGGCTCGCCGTCGTGCCCGAGGTCGGGGAGGCGTACGTGGTGGACGGGCTGAAGGTCGCGGCTTGGCCCATTGACGGGGTGGAGAAGCCGTGTTCTGAGGGGACGTAGGGTCTGAAGGAGAGGAGGGGCGCCGCGGAGGTGGTTGATGTGGGCGTGGCGTACTCGTCTTGCGGGGAGGCCATGTTGTATTTTGGGGAGTGTGCTTTTACGGGGATGATGGGGAGGCTTGTTGTGATGTTTGCGAGGGTGAAGGGTTCCTTTGGAGAGGGCTTCTTGTCGGTGTAGGGGATGTGGTCTGCGGCTGTGAAGGAAGAGATGGAGTTGTGTGGCATCCAGAGACTGGGTTTTGATACGGGGCTGGGGGACATGTCTTGCTGTTGGTGTTGATGCTGCTGCTGCATGGACTCGTAATGATACTTCTCGTTTTGCGCTTCTTCTTCTTCGACGGAGAAGAAGTTTGGTTGTCTCGGTGTGAGATGCGTCTGGCAACGGAAGGAGAGGGACGAGGCCGGGCGATGACCCTTTGCGCGGCGAGAGAGCTCTGGGTTGATGCCGCGGCCTTCTCTGCGCGCTCTGCGCTTGCGGCACTGGATGAAGGTGCAGCCGGCAGCCAGGAGGAGTGCCACGATGGCTCCGATGACGATGCCCACGATGGCTGTCATGGGAAGGGTGTGGGTTTCAGCTTTGTTGGCATCTGCTGCATCCTTTGGGTCAACGACGGTGATGATGCCCTTTGTGAAGACGGTGTCGTTGAGGCCGACTAGTGTGCCCGGGTTTGGTCTCTGCTGGCAACCAGCTCCGAGAGCAACGAGGTCTGTGGAGGATGTTAGAGGTGCGTCTACAGGAGAAATCTTGACCAAGATATTACTTACAGTTTGATAGGTAGTAATGTTCACCACCTGCTCTTACACACGACAAGCACTTGTCGTAGGCTGAGCCGAGCATGGCACCGCCATCCGCATCGCAGTATGCGTACTGTGATGACTTTGTCGGGTCTAATTCACCATCTGTGAGAGCAGCCTCCAACGCGCCGCATGCCGTAGATGTTTGGCAGGGGTTGGAGCCCACGCCGGTGGCATTGGGGTACCCAAAGATGCAGTAGTCGAAAGAGTACCTCATGTTGTCTGGAGGTGTCGGTCAGCGCCTCTGATCCTCAACTGTGATTGGACTCTTGACTTACACAAAAACCAGTCTTGGTCGTTCTCATTGCCCTGAACAAAGGTGCTGTCCTGAAGACAGCTCAAACACTGTTGGTATTTCTGTCCAGCGGCCCCTGACTTGTAATCGTCGTCCACACAAGTAATGTCCTTGCCCTTGGTGTTGGAGGAGTTGGGGTCCGAGGCATCGAGACCGTTGGAGTCCAGACAGAAGGACGCACATGGCGAATTGGGCGCGACTTGAAGTGCTGATACACAGGCTGGTACGATTGTGGTAAGAAGAAGGAGGGCGGATCGAGCGGCCATTGTGGGATGTGGCCGGGTTGGCAGGGATTAAGGAGTGTAGTCGAAGTAAAGCAGAGCAAAGACTCCAGAGCCTTGCAAACTGTAATTAGGTAAATGATAGTAAAAGAGACAGTTGATATCTCGAAAAATGGGATTAGATATTGCCCAGTGTAAGCCAAGAACACAAACGAAACAATTTCACACAAACAGTCGGAATAAGCTCAGCAAGAAGTAATTGCTTCTCAAGTCAAGGTGGGAGAGCAAGGTGATATATCTCGCAGAAAACGCTGATCTCATCTCCACCATTCACTCGAGCAGGGGGAGGGGGGGGCCATATGCAGATGCAGGAACAGGATGGTCTGGAATGGTACGGTGATGGTCTGGAGTCGCCTGCAGCTCGCAGGGCCCATGAGATAGGATCCCGAATGTATGGGGAAAAGAAGCTACGAGGTAGCAGGCATTTGGCAAACGAAGCCATATAGAGTAGAGAGCGGCGTCCCAAGCCGGAGACGGGCCCGTCGTCCTGCCGCCCATCTGCTCGACCACGGTTCGAGATGGGTGTCGGCGTCGGCAGAGGGTGTGGTGATGTCGGATTGAGGCGGCCAATGATGGGCCAGCGCAGGTTCCCGAGGTTTACGGTTATGAAGTGATGGAGGGGAGCCGGGGAGGGGAGGGGACAATACTCTGGACCCGAGCAGTCACGCAGAACTGTGTCCTACATAGACGCCGTTTGCCGACAAGGTGAGAAGAGCATTGTCTCCCCCGTTGGAAAAGCTCGTCAGGTGAACAGGCGATGGGGAAGATGGCAGAGCGCTAAAGACTTCCCAGCACTTGCAGGACGGTGTGCGGCGCGACAACCTCAGGGCGGCAGCTTGTTGGTCTGCCGCGATGTGTGTTTGGTTAGCGGCCGGTGGACGATGCGCCATCTCTCTATCTGCCCCCAATGTGGTGGTGCAAGCAATCGATAGTGTGGTTTTTTCCCCTGGCGATTTTGCGCGTATATGTGCCCGCGCGAGTGTGCTTGTGCCTGTGCCTGGCGTTGGTGGGATGCATTGTGCAATGTTAGTGATCACGGCGGGCGGCTGTGAGAGATGCATGCACCCTTGGGCCTTGGGGAGCTGGGGGGGGGCCAGGAATGTGAGGAATCATTGTGCCAATGGGAACACGGCGTTTGGAGATTGATCTGGTTGGTGACTGGTCTGTTGGAGTGTTGCAGTGTTAGGTAGGTTGGAAGTGTTGGAAGTGTGAGTGACAGTCAGCAGTAGCCCGGCGCTTACCTGAGTGCCTGAGTGCCTGAGCCCCCCCCCCAACGGGCCAACCAAAGATGTGCCTGGCCATGGCAGTTGGTTCCTTCTATCGGGGCATTTGGACTCTCCACTTAAAGCCGTGAGCTCGGTCCAGCCGGTTCCCACTGCGGGACCCAAGTGGGGTTCGGCCAAGGGTACCGCGGTACTTGGCTTGTCGCTCGTTGGCGATCAGTTCTGGGTCTCGTCAATGCTCTTTCCCTTTTCTCTCATCCTCTTCTCTGTCAGACTGTCTCTCCCTTTTCCATCCTTGGCCCCGTCAGCCTTCAGCCACAACACACACACACACACCCTAGTCGCAATGCCTTTATCATCCAAATCCCGGCCTGTCTATCCGTAATACCTCTCGAGAGTTCCCTTTTTGGTTTTCAACCCTTTTACCAGACGTCTGTTATTAGGGGGGGGGATTAGGCAATGCTACACCAAACTCCGCATGGGTTCCCTGTTGGCAAGTGCTGGCATGAGCTTCTTTTCTTCGGACATGTTCACCCCTTGCAAACTCTTTCGTTACCTTGTCTTATCTTACTGAGCCGAACTTTTTGGTCTTACATCTGAAAGCTTGTCACTTTTTGCATCATTCAGGTGTTCGAACGTTTGGCTCAATACGGATTCATAGGAGTTCGTGATTCGTATATCTCACCCAAACTAGAAACTAAAGGAAAACCCAAATATCTTGTATTGTCGTCCTTGATTCCGATTCTCCCGTCATCGTGCGACGTTGCTTCCGTCCATTCCGACCATCTGGTGCGGTGTTACCTCCTTTCTCTTGTTCCCTCTCTCTCATGTCTCGCTCTCTTCTCGTTTGTCTCATAAAACGGGTGTGTGTTCAAAGCTCCAGTCGCTATGTTGATGTATCCAAACGCCCGCAGATGAGAAGAAACATCCCCCCAAAAACAAAAATCCAAACCCGGATTAGACTTCCGGCTGTGCATTCTTTGCATCGCTGAATATGTCCAAACGCTTTTTTTCCCTTCGCGTGGCTGTTGGTCCCCAACGAACCAAAAACCAGCATGCATCAAATATGATTACTGTTGTCATTAATCGCCTCCCTCACTCTCTCTTTCCAACTCTCTCCATCTCTCCTTTTGTTTCATGCCTTTTCTCTCAACTGATGATGACATCTCTGCCGGTAACCGAATAAGTCGTCTGATACATGCACCGCTGAGGCGCCGTCTCGGGACAGTTGCCGTGAAACAGCATCTGCCCGCCCCCAGCAACGCTCGTCGCGCCGCCCGGCGCCGTGAGGTTGAAGTCGCCCGTCTTGAGCAGCATCCTCGACGGCCGCTGATAAGGGCCCTTGATGTTCCTGCTCGTCGCGTAGTTGACGTTGTAATTGTCCGAGTTGAAGCAGAAGCTGCTAAAGAACAGAATATACAGCCCGTCCTCGGTGCGCACCAGGTCCGGCGCCTCGACTAGGGGCCCGTCGGCCGCCGTTCGGCTGAGGATCTGCACCGGGTCGCCGACTTTGCTGATGCCGTCCGCCTCGACTTCCTGGAGCATGATGGGCGTGTCCACGAGCGGCTCGACGCCGTTGTTGCAGTCGCCTCCGTTGCCAACGTTGTTGCCGTCCACCTTGTA